TGTGTCCCTTTTATGTGGAAACAGTCCCCCCGCCCCCCACTGTTTGACAATGGATTAAGCGGGTTAATGGCATTAAACACATGTAGGATCTCACTAGTTCTCTAAGTGGAAATGTGGATAGATTCTCTACTACCTGGTTCTATTGGTTAGTTCCTGGAGTCTGATGAATGCAAGCAGTTGATTGGATCTGATAGTTTGGAGTCTAGCTAAGAAAACTTTTCCTTCCCCGTTTTCCTTTTTCTTCTTCTGCTCCTCCCCTTTTTCTTTCTTTTCTCTTTCTTTTTCTCACTTACTGTCACTTCACTGGTCTTCACCTGGAGTGCATTAGTTTGTTACTCCTTATACATATCTCCTATACTGCAGATTGCAATTTATACGTTGTTGATTCCATTGGTGCTACTCTACTGGCTTCTCTGCTACCCGTCTTCCAGTTGGATATGAGGACAACTTACAATCTGCATGTTACTTTTGCTACAGTGCAAACTGTTTTTGATGCACAAGAGATTTGATCTTAATGTACACTGCCCTGTCGGCACTTCTTCTTTTGCTACATATTTACCTATTTTTCCTGATATTTATTTTATGATTGTTGTATTTTTGACTTCTTTTGCCTGTATGTTCTTAATTGTAAAAATTGTTTAATAAAAATGGAATTTATAAAAAAAATTATATGCACATAGGGGCAGCCATATTTGCTAATCACATATGCAGCTCTGTTTTTTGGCTCTGATTTATTGTTTATAGGGACACTTATGGTTTTCAGTCAGTTTTCTTTAATTTATTGTTAAGATTATACAGTTCTAAACTGACATTTTATATATTATTTTAGTTTTACTACTTAAAAGGGAAATATGGGGCAACCTTTTTATCCCACAGTTCTCTTTAGGGTCACGAAGGACATATAGTACCTTTCTCCCGTGACCCAAAGCTTAGTATGTAGCTCGCTATACACTGAGACCGCCTCAGCCAGGGCGGATCCTGACAATACTGTCGAGATCCACCGCTCTGGCTGATTGACAGCAGGCTCTGCCTATTTATTGGCAGAGCCAGCTGTGCCCGCCCCTTCCCCGTCCATTCCTCTAGTCAGCGCTGGAGGATCGGAGAGGGAAGGGAGGAATCCCTGCGTGGAGTGGTGACTGACAGTCACCGCTCTCTGCAGGGAGATGATCGGAAAGTGAGCGAGCAACGGTATGTGTTCGCTCACTTCCCGATCAATAGAGCCGATGTGTGACAGTTTCATTGTCACACGTCGGCTCTAACTATGAAAATCACTCACCTCATACTTCTCCTTTAAATAAAATCTTTATTTTATAAATAAACATTTAATACAGTGTGAACCCGTGACACCATGGCATGCCATAAAGGATTAAATTGTATGCACAGCCCACAAAAGTTTTTTAGATTTAGATAGGGGGTTAAACCCTTCCCTACTCTATCAGGTTTTCTCTTTTCTCTTTGCTTCCTGTCCTGGAAATGCAAAAGGAAGTGAAAGTAAATCTCTCTAAAATGAATTAAGTTCCCACCTGAGAGAGTTGTCATCGGAACAAATGTCTCCATTTGAGGATTTTCCCTCTAGGAACAACTTTACTCTGGTGACAACTTAAAATCTTTGGATTTGCCCTAATTTTTTATCTCAGGAACAATGGTCGCCAGTACAAATAGAGGAGGAATCTCACCAGTGGGGTCACAGACAGCAGTAAACACTTGAGAAAGGGTCTAACCTTTAATGTACACTGTAAGGGATTTCTAAAGAGAAAGAGCCACGGAAGTTGTTTTCTTTCAGACTCCCTTTCTCTAACTTGAACTTAATGAACCTCATATAAGCAGAATAATTAGCGTCTTTCTTTTTTGCAGTTGTGTGTTAACTTGAGCTACTGATCTCTGTAAACAACAGGCAGCTAAGAAAAGACAAGTAAACTTGTATAGAGAAACAAAGTGCCCAATCAAATTTGGTCCAAATACTAACAAATTTAGGTAGCGCTTGTGTAAGGGTTCCCCGCTGACTGAGCATGCGCCAAGCGTACGTTCTCGTAATATCCGGGGCCGCGCTGTTCGGGCGCGGACGCTATCGACCTCTATGCCCGACGCTATGACTCACTGCAGCTCGACCTCCGACCCAGGAAATGCCCCGCACTGGTCCACAGGAAATGACTCACTACAGTGATTACTTCCCCTATATAAGCTTGGCCTCAGCACCACCATGTTGCTGGTTTATTGTCAGCTATCTCCTGTGCTCTTGTTATCTTTTGCTTGACTCCTTGTGACCCGGATTTCCCTGACGACTCCTGTTTGCTGCCTGCCCTTGACCTTGGAACTGCTCATTGGACTACGTTTTTGCCTGATTGCTCATGTGGAACTGACCTCGGCTTGTTTACCTGGACTACGGCTTGCATGGTGTTCAACACCACTGGCACTCCTGCCACTTGCTGCCCTTCTGGTCTCTGCTCTCATCCCCAGAGTCCAAATGACACAAGGTTCAAGGGAAGCCTCCTCTCACATACGGTCTCCAATCAGGTACGTGACAGCTTGAACATATGTATTAGGAATTTTAAGGGACAATTCACACCAGATGCATTGAAGCTGAGTTGACTGTTGTTTCCAGTGCAGCCCCAATGCAAGACAAGACAATTTGCCTTGTCACAGATGGGCTCGGTTCACACCATTGCATTGCGATGTTAACACGGTGGTGTGCGCTGAAATAAATACAGCATGCTGCACTTTTTTCAGTGCAGCGGGATGCAACATGGTACAACCATCTGACACCCCGCTGTGCCTGTAGAACTGAATGAAATGTCACTTATGACATTTCAATAAAATTCTACCAGAAACAAAGTGGGCTCAGCACTTTGGCACTGTGCCGGGGCATCACACACCAGATGCTGAGATTAGCGCAGCGTCTGGTGAGAATGGGCCCTGAAAGTGATAGGATTTTATATTTTGAAACACTGGTACTTATGCAATGTTGTGCTGCAAGGCTGGCATGAAAACACCCCTCATTTTCATAAAGTGTACATGTGGGGATAAGAAAAAAATTGTTACTGAAATAGGCAGCTACCCAACAGTTCAGCGCTTACTCTGATCCACCATAATGTGTTTAGATATCTCATCATATAGGGCTGCAACCAACTAATCGATTAATCAATAATGAGAATAGTTGTCAACTATTCTCATTATCGATTAGTTGGTTGGATCCCCTAGTTCTCTCCTCCACATAGGGAGGAGGGCACAGAAAGCAGTGGGCGGGTGCAATAGCCAGTCTGCTATTGGCTATTGCATTTTGAAATGGCCAATAGCAGACATACTATTGCACCAGCCCACTAACTGCTGTATTTACATTCAGCTGCCGCCTGCAGAATCTTGCCACTGGCAGCTGTCATTCCCTGGCTGAAGCTATTCAAGAGCCATTTGCATACAATACAATTATTATTTTTTAAATTATAAAAGGTGGGGGAAAAAGTAATTTTCAGTTTCTGCCTGAAAAATTCTGCTGTGGGAGGTGCATTGCAGTGCCATTCATTTCAATGGCACCCCAAACGTGCCTGCCACCCACAATGTGATCACCCGCACTGGAACGCACAGTACCTCAATGCCATGTGTTCCAGTGCAGTGCAACTGGAAAAAAATTGTGCATGCATTTTATTCTGAAGTAAACTTTACGTTTGTAACACTCCATTTGTATATTTTATTGTAAATTAGGGATAGTATTTATTTATTTATTTTTATCCCATTAATCGATTATTTGAAGAAATTGGCCAACTAATTGATTATGAATATAATCATTACTTGCTGTTCTACCATAATTCATGGGTACTTTTCAATGCAAATACTGACTAGCTTCCATGGTTGTTGCCTTTAGCCTGCTTCTTAAGGTCTCATACACCTTATTATTGGCCCATCATTAGAATGCATGAGGCAGGAAGGGCAAGGCCAAGCGACCAAGGAATATGCTTGCTCAGATACTGGGTGTTGAATTGTAGAATAAGGGTGAGGGAAGTTGTTCTGAGGAAGTAGTGGAATAAGAAAGAGCTACAAGGTAATAATAGAACCTAAATCCAAAGCTACAGCTGACAGCTATCCCTTGCAGATGTTAACTTACTATGTAATGTTTCTTACATGCTAGCACTAAGGGGTCATTCCTTCATGAACTGCTAATTAATTAAAAAGTTAATGCTGATATACTGATTTCCTCCTTCCTACTCAACTCAATTCAGAAAACACTAGATCTGTGTTTAGAGTTCCCCTAGACAGATTTTTTTTAAAAACTAAAATGTGAGACACACCTTTAATGATGCTGCTGGAATATACAGCAGTCTCATGATGTTACGGGCTTCGTTTTTCTCCCATCAAGTAAGCTATTTACTCTTTGATCCATGGCTGATATGTGTTCATATGCAGCATTTCATTGATGACACATAGTACTTTCCTATACTGATTATACTGTATATGATAACTAACATCTGCACATTTTTTTCTATGTTTTTTGGCGGGATTATGACGTCATTGTGACGTCAGAAGGTATGTTTATTGGTGTTTTGTGCAACTGTCTGTCTATTTATACCTAGATGTGATCACTGTACAATTGTCAATGCTAAAGCCTGATGAAGGGACCCTGTGCGGTCCCGAAAGCGCTTGTTGGTCATATGACAAAAAAACGTCAGTAAATGAAGCTTTTGTTATCCTAAAAGGACTGGTGTGCTGGTGACATTTCTACAATTTTACACCTTTAATGATGGTCACACCAAAAACACTCAATTTTTTTCAACCTAATTTCTGGCTTTCTGGCAGGTTTCCAGCACAAAATTGCCAAACAGATCATGTCCACCTACCATAAATTGTTTCTATCAAGCCTGTAAAATAATGAGGTTGTCTTCTGTACTGTGGTTCTTTTGATTGAAAACTAACTAAAAAGTGCCATGTGTATGACCAGTATAAATGATACAAATGATACAAGGGTCATCCTTACAATTTGTGGATGATACTCATTAGAGCTAAGTCCTCACCTATGTCATTTCGAGGAGGGAGGTCTTCATCCTCACAGCTTGGATATCTTTCTTTGCGGTCAAGTAGAAGGTAATAAATCATCTTTTCCTGGTTTTCACTGCAAAATATGTTTCAAGTCAGTATATAGAAATAATATTTTATTGTATTAATCACAACATCAGCTTAATGGCTTTATGAAGTAGTAAAAAAATAAATCCTCGCTCCATTTTAGGTCTTTGGATAGATGAAGAGGAGCACTGGCACAACTACCAGGGTCGAAGCGGTCGCAATTGCCACCGGGCCCGGGCGTTCCGCAACTTGGGGGGGCCCAGCAACGAAGAACCGCCCCCCCGCGATCGCGCCGCTCCTTCCCTGCCGCACACCCACCCGCAGCATGTACGGGCGGCTGTGCGACAGGGCTGGAGAGGCTGTCACTGGTCCCGGACAATGAGCTGGTCCCGCCTCCTAGGGGTGGAGCTAAGATGACCCTCTCCACTTAGCTCCGCCCCCTGGCTGCCAAGACGAGGAAGAGGGCCATGGGCCTGCAGGAGATGGAAGGTAAGTCTGGAGTGGGAGGGGGCGCGGGGAAGAGTGAGAGAGTGTGTGTGTGTTGCTGGGACTTGTAGTCCCGCATTGCTGGTGGTAGTCTGCATTGCTGTATGATGATTATACAGCAATGCACAATAGCACCAACTATGTAGGACTACAAGTCCAAGCAATGCATTGTAGTGGGGGGGGATGCTTGTGGTATTCTGCATAGCTAACTTTTATTATAATGTACAATATTGCTGGGACTTGTAGTCCCGCATAGCTGGTAATATTCTGTATTGCTGTATGATGATTATACAGCAATGCAGAATAGCTACAACTATGTGGGACTACAAGTCCCAGCAATGCATTATATTTTTAAGTAGGGATACACCACTGTTAATATGGGCATTTTCACAAGTACTCATACCCGTGAAAATGCCCCGATACTAAAGGCAGATACCGGTGTTTTGTCGAGAACGCCGATGTAGTCGAATTTGCTGACCTCAGCATCTGCGCTTGCGCACAGACAAGTTTTATCGAGGAAACCAGGATTTATTCACAAAGTATTTTGTTTAAATCGTTAATTGTGACCGTTAATAATATTCCATCCTTCTTTTACTGCCATGGGCGGCATATTATTAACGGTCACAATTAACCATTACAAACAAATACTTTGTAAATAAATGCCGGTTTCCTCGTTAATCCCGTCTGTACGTAAGCGCAGATACTGGGTCAGGGTTCTCGACAGAACGCCGTCACTGAAATTTTAAGCAAGCGGCTGCCTGAGGTCCCGCGCTTGCTTTTAACCATGCGGTGCCATGGCGGTGGGGGGGGGGCCTTCATGGTTTCTTGCACCGGGGGGCCCTGTAGGTTCTAGTTACGCCTCTGTAGAGTAGAGACCATTAGTGAATATGTCCTTGTCTGTTTTAAATATATTGGTAAACACACCTTCATCCTGGGTCTTAGCCATTGATACATGAATTTCTGAAGCCGGCCACACACCAGCAGAATTTCGTTAGACATTTTTCATTTTTGGAACATTTGTTAGATTTTTAAAAGGTTAGTGGGGGTCTAATCGGCGTTCACTTTTTACCCTAGTGATGAGGAAAATCGAAGGAGCAGGATGGAAATGTTGTTTTAGTTTCTTATCTGAATTAATGTAATTCTAACTGTGAATGTGATTTTCATTTATATGAAAAATCATACATGTTGTAATGCCCACAGAAGAGACTTGTTTAATATTACCAGATTCCATTTAAGTAGCAGGTCTGGATGAAATATTCTCAGGTGTTTTGAAGGAAATTAGTTGATTCAATGATGGCAAGATTAAATGTTCTGACAAACGATTTCAAATGCTCGTACCAAATTCTAACAGTGTATGGCAAACTTTATGGACATGTCAGGTGAGTTCACAAACTTATGTCATTATAACATTCTCTCAAATGCACCTCTCTATATAGATAATATTTTGGACTTTTACAATGACAAATGAGGCAAGGGCCTGGTCAGTATTAACCCCTGGTCAACAGCAGATAATTTTGAGTTTATGCATGCTTTTGATCTGTGTTCATCAAATAGAATCTAATAGAAACTGAATATTAATTGAACCAACAAACACCAAAGTATATGCAATTGCTGCAAACACTAAGGAGACCAGCTTATCATCTTACAATCAATATAAGTTTTTTATGTAGACTGTAAGATTTCCTTCTAAGATCCACTAGGTGCACAAATCTAGCTAAACCCTGTTCAGGAATTAGTAAATAACCAATGAAACTTGGGTACAGACATCAAACCAGGCATACAAATCTTAACATGGGGACATTATATGGAGATTCTTCAGTTACAGAAACATATTCAGAGAGGCAGCACAAAGAACAATAACCCAAAGCATCCATTCAGTTTTTCATATCTACATCTGTGGAAGATGCATTCTGATTACAAGGGGTAGAACGCTTTGAACAATACTTGTTGTCTGAATGAGCTGGCTGCATATAAAGAGGCATCTATGTATATGTTCTATTCTCAGCACTCTGTCTTGCCTACCGCTGCACTAAATCCTCTCATGATGCAAAATTTCTAAAGAAAAACACCAGGCAAACAGCTAAATACACTGTTGAAATATATAAAAGTTTGCTGTTTTATCTGCCAAAGGATTGTTAATTCTGTTCAGCTAATCTTGTAACTTACATTTTCTACACTGAAAAGACAGACAGGTGACACATACAGTTCCTGATTAAGCAAGTAATCCTCCTTCTTAAGCAGTGCAGCTTCCTGTGTCGCTCCTCTGACTCCAGCCTCGTCCTTGGACAGTGGATACGTATTGTTTACTAGATATAGGGCATGATACGCCATCACATCAGGTGCCTTTGGTGGAAGGATCAAGCTGGCTGGACAACTGTATGATGGAAGCGAGCTTGTTTCAGGCAGAGCAGGTAATGCTCTATTTCAGACCTTTGCCATGGGGCATTATATGTTATGCAATGCACATGGTGCTTTTTGCACATTCTTAAAATTAGTTTCTATTTTTAATCCTTCATTTAAAAAAAACTGTATTACATTATGGAATTGTCTCTGTTTGTGAATCATGAACTGTGGAAATCCCCTGTTGTAGATGAATCCCTGAAAGTCACAGATCCGATTTTGGAAATACCATAGTCAAATATTATTGCACTTTTGACCATCTGTAATTAAAGGTCCAACAGCCAATAGCGCCTTTGACAACCAGCGACACTGACAATGGGTGGAGCCTGGTGGGGATGCTGAGGGACTAGTTCACCATTAGGTCCGCTCTGCTACTAATTGACAACAGGCAGTGGGAAGATTTCATAGCCAATAGTAGACTGTCTATTGGCTATGGAATCCATCCACTGCCTGCTGTCAGTCACGAGTGAGACAGACCGGTTAGAGCACTAGTCTCTCAGAGTTCCCCATCAGGCTCTGCTCACTGTCAGCATAATTGACTGCTAAGAGGCTGTTGGTTATGCAGCAGATAGCATCTTAGCAACCAGTGACTCATTCCCATCCCCTCTTTCGGTAATAGCTCACAATTTTGGATTTTTCCTCACTTTCAGTCCTAATAACAACGGGCACTAGCACAAATAGAGAGGGTGAAACACAAACACAAACCGCAGCAAAAACCTGACAAGGATACTAATCTTTCCAAAACTAAGATACACCCATTTGACAGTTCCACTTCAAGCCAGACAAGCCCTTGTCCACCCAGTTATTGTACAGAAGTTATTGTTATTACTGTTATTGTTCAGAAGTGTAGAAAAGGAATTCATTTAGTTCTAATTGACTCTTGAATCTGCTACAGACTGTAAGATTAATTGGCGTGAAAAGAGATCATATCTCAGAAATCACTAAGTTTGCTATTCTATTGTATGAAATAATTGCACTGCTTAATCTTTGCCCAGTAAACATTAACTTCATTGACATTGCCTACTCTGCGGGCAGCGATCTGAAGCTGCTGTCCCATCATTATCACCTCATACGTACAGTTCTGCGTATTTAAATTTAATGGGCCTTGTGTTTAATGTGCTTTTCAAGGAGAACTCCTCTCAGATGAATAAAGGGAATAAAGAGGGTAAGGTGAAGCTAGCATGTTAATATCAATTAGCTCTGTGCCTTATTTTCGGTGATCTGAGGTCTAAGTCCCATGCTGTGGTTCTCTGGTCCTAGTCGTTGGATGTACAAAGGATTTAGCTATCCCTGTGCTCAAAAAGGTCAGTACATTTTTATGTCTGCTGGTCTCTCTTGCTTAGGATCTGTGGCCTTACATTCCATACTGTACAAAATCAAGCAGTTCTGACCTTGCATTCATATCCATTATCATTTGTTATAAGTTGTGTGAGTCTCTAGATGGCTTATTGAAGATTACATGAAAAGTATTAACATCTTCCCTCATTTCTGAATTTTTAAAATGGTATGAATATACATGTACCTTATCTTTAGACTTTTTTTCTTTAAGGCAAAATAATACTGGTGATATTAATAATAATGCTAAATTATTAATTCTAGTTGAAAAGAATAGAGATAAGATCAAACATAACGGGACTCTGATTCCATATTTGTAGTTCCCTTTTCATGTATATATTAGGTGATTAGTATGCAAATTCTTGCTATACTAGTTTTCATGGTTTAAATGAGTGCTACACATATTCCTTGTATTGCTGATAATTATAAAACCGAATTTGCCATATTACAACTATTATTCTTTTTGAGTTGACCAACAATATAAAGTAAGATAGTGATAGGTGTTTAACATATAGGAGCTAGTACAGCACAGAGAGGGCCTGTGTGGATGGGCTATTGTTCATGTTAGATTTGCATCTCTTTACTTAAAATCTTTCTTAGAAGGAGGTCAAATAGGTTAGAAAAGGATCAAATGCACCAGTCAAAATCTAACTGATCTCAGAAATATCCCAAATTAATCTCAAATGCAAGCTGAATGCAGCTTATAGCATGCTGCATTTGCCTATCTACACAAACCCTAAGGATGGCAAGGCTAAAATAATCACTTATGTTGGAAAATACATTAAAAGGAAGCAAACTCAACCCTTAAAGGAATATTTTACTTTACCTGTTATCCCAAACTTCAGCCTATTAATAGTTAAAGGATAAAGATGTTAGTTGCTGTTGGATTCAAGCTTTAATGCTATGACTCACCTTAAATGAACCCCCATTGTATTTTGCTGGTGGGTGAGCTTAGGACATCGTGCTTCGTGTTTAGAGACCTGCCTGGCCTCACTTCCCTAGCATTTAAACAGCTTCCATTGAGTAGACAGGACACACATTTTACTGATGCTGTCAATGACCTCTCACAGACTGATAATCAGTATGCTAAATCAGAGAAAACTTTAAAGCTTTAGAATACATTGGGGGGCATTTGTCAATCTGGTCACATCATCAGGCTCTTTTAAACTGTCACATCCCTGATTTCTAGTGCATATAGCGACAGGTTTATAATACTAGTTTATGTTTCATTCCTAAATGCCTTTGTAAGGAGAATTGTCTCAAAATTGTCGCAAACTTGCAGGGAGTCTCCTGAAGGACACCTGAATAGCCCTGAAGTGCTTAGCTGACTTGAGGATTTGAAGCTGAATTATCTTTGCACTACCTTAAGTAGTGCTCAGGAGCACTTCTAGAATGTGCAACAATTTGGAGGTCTTTTAATGTCACAAATGCTGGATGCAAATGCCATGCAATTGAGAAATTATGCAAAATGCTACAAAACATGTGCAGTGAGTCATTAATATGAGAGATAAAATGCTGTGGTTAGTTATCATGAGATTTTGGTCTTTGTGACTAAAAATCTTGTTGCACACATGTTTATAAATAACCCCCATTATGTTTCCAAACAAATTAAGTCACATGGGACAAAGGTAACAGATGAGGAGGCTACAGATTACATTAACATATACAGTAGCTTCAGCAAATTGTTCTATGGTTCCTTGTAAGTTACATAAGTATGTAAAACCAAAACTTTGATGTTATTTATAGATTGAGTACAGAAGGATTAAAGCCCTTATCTGGTTATTTTTTGATCCCTGTGTCCCATTGAGGAGATTTCCCTTTATCCTCTGTCCTGCAGACACAACAGGAAATAAAGGGTATTCCTATGCTACCAGTGTAGGTTCTTCTCTCAGCTCTTGCTCTGGTGACAACTCTTAGGGGATCACTTATAAAAGTTCTGTGCGGCTATGCCCCTAGATGGACACTAGTTGAGTTGTAGGTAAACCCTACTGGGCTAAATCAGCTACTGAAGTCTTCAAATGTCTTGGAAACTCCAGCAGTGTCTCTTTGAGTTTTAAGAGAATACTATTAATGATATGAAACTGCCAGATGGTTTAAATTTTCAATATCTACTAGAACTGAAATATCAGTTTAACTCATGGCTCGGGTATCAGATATGTTTCTTAGCCCATTCCCCAGCTCCTTTTGGTTTTTTTAATCAACATATATGCTATATTAGCACACTTTTGTATTTATTCATTTTATAAAACAGGAATATCCATACAAAAATATTGCAAATACTCAGCAAAACCATAGAAGTCAATGCACATAGTGTCAATGCAAATAATAGGCAATAACTCTAAAGCATAGATCCTATTACTTTTCAAGTTTTGTAAACAATACACAGCAATAGACAGGAAAAGCAACAAAGAAGAGGAGTAGAAGTAACTAGAGATATGCGCGGTCCTTCCGTCTCCAGCTGAAGGCTGTGACATAACTGTAAACCATACAGGAGATAGGTGCAGTATACATATCTACATGGCACGCCCGAGACCAGCCATATCCTTGGGTTAATCCGTATACCACCACGCGGGCATTCTAGTAGGGGAGTATTACATAATGACAGGCGATGGCAGACATCCGAGAGTACTTGGAAACAAGCTAGGGATAGAATATTGCAACATCCAAATATGAGGCACCTATGTCAACCAAGCATCTGAGGAAGTAGGGTCAGAGCAGACAACATGAGACAAGGGTTAGAAAGGCAGGCAAGAGCAGAGGTAAAGACAAAGAGAGGGGGTAGAAGAGAGAGCTCACTGCCAGCGGGCCACCGACCTTTGAGCACTCAGGACACCTGAGGGCCGGCAGGTGCCTCTGATGTGAGACACGCCTGATATTCCGGAGAGAAGAACTCCGTCCAAGGGGACCATGTTTTGCAGAAGGTGTTGTGTGTCCCCATGGAAGACGTAGTCAAGTCCTCCATTCTCTAAATCTTGTTAACCATACTCAGCCACATGCCCATCGTTGGGGGCCAAGTGTCCCGCCACAACACCGGAATGCAGGCTTTCGCCGCATTAAGAATATGTGGTAGTACAGATCTCAAATAGGACCGTTTAGGTATCATATTATGGTGCAAAAGGAAGAGCGCCGGGGTCAGTGGGACAGGTTGGTCAGTAAATTTGTGCAGTAGCGACCTGACCTCCCTCCAAAATCCCTGGATTCCTGGGCACGACCAAAACACATGGAGCATGGTACCCCCGGCCTGGCCACATCTCCAGCAGACAGGAGGTAGCTCTGGCATAAGTCTGTGAAGGGCAGCAGGGGTCCTATACCAACGTGTAAGAATCTTATAGTTGGACTCCTGAACCCTGGTGCATCTGGATGTTTTGTGAGCAAAGTAAATAATTTTTTCCTTTTGTTCTGGAGTAAACTGGATCCCCAGGCCATGTTACCATCTATCAAAATACGGGTGATAAGCACACTTTTTAAATGAAGATTTTGTGTGTTTTCATTTTGACTGTAAGGTATCTATACCGTTCTTTACTGATCCCATTTCAGAGGCACTGAGCCTTTGAGCTTGGGTGGAATCTAAATTCATCTTTTTTTTTCAGATTCACATAACTATCTGGTATATATCATTCATTCATCATATCAATCTACAACATTCTGTTTCCTCCCCCATGAATACTTACTCTTCATTCTGAAGTTCCTGTTTTAGTTTGTTTTTATCCCTGAAGCATCCCAGGGAATGCATGCTGTCCAGGACATCTGGGTCAAACTCACTTACTGAGTGAATCCTTCTGATGGACACTTTTCGGGGCGTGGGTTGTTCAGGCTCAGGTTCATTTTTGCCACCCCTGCGGACAAAATATTAGACAGTCATGAGGCTCAAGGCAGGTGACAACCAATTCAATCAATACAATTAATACTGTGCAAAACAAGCATAATCAGACTTCAAATATATCAACAATGAAAAACTGAAAAAAAAATGAACTTGAAGGCTGCCACTGCTGAAAATTGTAGTGGCAGTACTTTTTCAGTCCTTAGCTTAGTGAATGAAATGAAGCTCTGTTCACTTCATTCATCCAATCATGTGCAAGCAAAAATGTTTTGTTTTTTTTTAAACTTTCCTTGCACATGATCAGGAATTCTTTGCAAAGTGAATTTTCAACATGTTCACTAAGCTAAGAGAAAATTCCCTTGCAAAGTGAACAGCCTGTTTCCCTTTAGCAAATCAACCTCAGTGACTCAAAGTATGACATTTATTACATCAACAGACAGAGAAGGCAGCCAGCATTTCCAGAAAGTCCAGTCAGCAATGGTATCTGTATGTGTTCCTCAAAGAACAGATTTCCTTTTTTACTTAGGCTGTTGACCTCACTTTGCATTCAGTCACCATGCATTTTGCGGATCAGTGACTCAAAAAAAAATTGAGACCGCACACGGCAGAGCAACCAGTATTACAAGGAGGTCAGCAATGGCAGTCCCTTTTTTTTCATGACATGCTATTATGGTGGCTTACACTATATGATTAGTACCAGATGTAACAATACATGGGGAAGTCAAACCAATCTGGAAAATTTGAGCATATTGTTCATACAGAAATATGTGGATGGCATCATCACAGTAGCTTTCTCTAAGCAAAAACAGTATGTGGCAACCTCAAAAATTGGCACGTTTACAAAACACATTTGGTTTTGTATGGGCATCTATAAAGCCCAACTCTTTTTGAAAGGTTTTTATCTCTGTCTATAAATTTCTTGGGGTAAAAGTTACCTCACTTCCTGTCCCTCAAACAGCTTGTTGTAGTAGCACAAGAAATAAGAGAAGTTGTCACTAGGGCAAGAAGACATATTAACCTGATAAAGGTTTCCTCTCACTTGGTCACAGACCACAGTAAAAAGCGGACAGACTATTAGATCTGTGACCTTGCTTAAGGCGGATTGCATATACACATTGTCCATTGTAGATTAATTTGAGCCTTGAACATACAGCTGTCAAAATAGAGCCATTGCTATGTTCCTGACTGTTGCTCAGTGCTCACCTATAGAGCTAATGAAGAGCAGGTGAGTACAATTATACAAATATGACCATAATGCAAAACAGAGAGTCATGTGGTATGTAAATTGCATTATGATATACACAATAAAGTAAAAAATAAGAATTTCTTAAATTTGTCCATGCCATCAGAAAAATATCAGTATGTCACACAGGGATATGATAAAACATATGTACATTTGCATTTTTTTCTGCCAACGGCAAAGTGAGAGAAGATATCTTCCCTAATGGCATACAGTGCTGATGCAGGAATCTAACAACACACTGCGGCCTTTGACTCAAGAGTGTAATAATAATCAGGCCCAACTCTGATGAGTATGTAAATTCTCATTTGCATTATGCATGCAAATTTTGTTCCTCCATCAAATCCATATTTACTTGATTATTACTATGTGCATTTATTAAATCAGTTCTTTAATAGCTCCACAAAACTGCTTTTTTCTGTGTTTTTTTCACCAATGCAGTACAAAGAGCAGAGTTGTTTTGGTTGGACTGCACAGCTGCCTAGATTTCACAGATGGAGACACTGCCAGAGTGGAGCAAGAAAATGCAGCTTTACATTTTGGGGCCAGGTGATATTTTGCCATATCATTTGTGAAATAAATGTATGTCTTTTCATTTGACATACACTACAATATGTCTGCCTTTCACCCCCTCACCCATAAGAATACATTTAATGTATGATGTTCATGGCTGATTTGTACTGCAGAATTATGCCCACACACGACAAGAAAAAGTCTTGAAGGGGGTGAAAGTCTACAGTGCAAAGTAACCAAAAATGCTGTATTGCTCTATTTAAACTGTGCTGGGTGCAGAAAAGCATCCAACATAGTGTGTTTGTGTTGAAGTGATACTAAAGTGAATATGCTAATGAAATCACTTACAATTGCTGCTTCTTGATGTTTAACTACCTCCGGGCCGGCCGTAGTAGAAAAACGGCCGGCCCGGAGCTCTCTAGATCTGAGCGGGCGCCTCTAGACGTCCGCTCAGACACAGAAGTGGTTAAAGGTTTTAGTTTCCTGCAGAATTAGCTCTTGAGCACTGGCCCCGATATCCTGTTTTAGTGTGACTCCTTTCCCTTGCAGGGCCCTATGGAGCCTCCACAAACACACAGGCACAGGAAAGCCAGCTACTCCCCTCTCCCTTTTCCTCCCCTCTACAAGCTAGTAGATGGACAGATGCTGGAGTCTGCTCTGTCCCTTGTGTCCTTGTACTAGACAGGAAATTCAGGGAAGCCAAGTTGAGAGAGTTGGAGCCAGCTGTTCAGAAACATGATCACTGTAAGTGTTTGGGCAAAATGTAAAGAAATACTTTGCTGGGCAAAGTATATTGGTATGATCCGGATTATTGAATAAAAAGCTTGAGATTTTAACACTACTTTAAGTGTTCCATCCATGGCTGAAATGTTCCTCTGCCCGGAGAAGCAGTGGAAAACAATAGGCAGCAACAGCCCCTGATGATAGAGTCATTGCACCTTAATATTTTGCTTTATGAACCACTGATACAGTATATGTACTGAGCTATTCAGCTTGGGGCACCCATTTAGACCTGTTGCTGTTGTAAGGTGAGTCACCCTTAAAGGCATAGATGGTCTATGGAAAGGGAATGAAAGGCGAACACTTTGTAAACTTGAGTGAAATTAACATACAACATTGTACATTTTATTTTGGTACAATTAGGGGTACATCTAAATGAGCAAGTGAATCTAGGCATAGATTTGCTGGCACTCCCCTGAACATTGAGAAAAGCCATGAACTTCGCCAGTTCTGGGTGTAGAGGGTGAATACAAATCCTATTTGCAGAGCGCCAGATCTCTGGCGGATTTGTATATGATTGAGTACGGCAAACAACTAATGAATGTAATGATTGGTCCTTTTCAAACTGCAAATGTCAAAATCAGATCAGGATAAGTGGTTGTAATATACATCATATGATAAGTTAGCAAAAGTGTGCCCACTTTGGCACAGAAGGGTCCATGACAATCAATTCAGTGCTGCCTTTGAGTAGGGACCACAGACAGTGGCTGGGTATATACTATACAGTAAAGTGCATACAATGAAGAAATGCAGTCATGCAGAGTATATGTACAGCACAGTGTACAAAGTGAAGCAGTGTGATGTGTATAATGTATAGTACAGTGTAAAAGGTGGAGCAGTGTTGATCAAATAATGTAAACACTACATAGTAGAGGATATAGTATATAATGTACAGTACAGTGTACAGAGTGGAGCAGTGTGGAGTATATATTGTAAAACACAATGTACAAATTAGAGTGGTGTAAAGTAAAGTATATACAGCACAGTGTATAGTGTGGAACAGTGTGAAGTATATCATGTACAGCACTGTGTACATAGTGGAGTGATGTAAAGTAGAGAATATGCAGCACAGGTTATACAGTAAAGAGGTGTGGAGTATATATAATGTACAGCACAGTAAAGGTAGTGGAACTGTATGAAGCATATAATGTACAGCACACTGTACAGCGTGGGACAGATTGTAATGTATAATGCACTGCACAGTGTACTATGTGTCAGGGTCAGTGTAAATTATATAATATACAACACAGTTTAAAGATTGGAACAGTGTGTAGTATGCACAGCAGTCTGTAGAATATATTGGTGTGGTTTATAGAAAGTACAGTATGCAGAGTACATAGCAACATGTGCAAGGTGGAGCTGTGATAAATACAAAGTGCACAGTGTACAGAGTGAAACTGTTTGTAATATAGAACATACAGGTCAGTATACGTAGTGGAGTGGTGTCCAGTAGAGAACACATCATGCCTAAAACAAAGAAAAATTGTGTTACAGCAATCAATATCCTGGAACAAAATTTCTGGACAAATCTCCAAAACAAATGGCTGTTCTTGGAAAAAAAGGACCATTACCAGCTATGGGTCTGACTTACTTAACTGGCATATAGGTGGCTATGCATGATGAGTGAGTGACATTTAGGTGATAGGGCTATCCCTATTATATGTCATGATGAGCTGTCCCTGCCATCTTTATAGATCTCAACACTATAGCTATCCTGCAGCGTTTCACTTCAGGTCCCCTTGTATTTATCTGGACATACACTTTGACAGACACCTTTTAAATGCCTGCATGTACTAATTCTGGTAGGTAGAAGCCCCTAAGCCGAGTACTCGTGCCTGTGCCTGTGAGCCTTGACATCCTGCTAGTCACAGCAATAAGCAACTTTATCATCAAAGTCAAAACATCTGCCTATTATTCAGGAGAACTGCACGGTGTTTGGTACTATTCAGGCTCAGCGTGTCCAGTGCTCTCCAGCTGGAGTGTTTTAATGAGCTGAAGTGAGTAAAAAAAAAATAATATGCAAATTACGACAAACCACATGAAAGCACACTTCTAAACGCATTGAAAATATGCTAAGATGCAAAAACACACACATATACAGAACAATACATAAATGTGTATGAGGCTTTATGAGTATTTCATATATGTGACTCTCTGCAGCCTTCTCTATGTGAATACAATTACAGAATTATGTAAAAAGGTGGATCTTAGTTGGAATGAGCAGGGTGTTTTGATAACAGGGCTCGGTAGCATCAAGGAAAAGTCTCCTGACATTTCACAGGAACCTGTAGATTGGTTATATGGAAGCTGTCATTGCTGCAACAGTTTTAAAAACAACAGGCTCCATGGCTCTTTTGCTGCTCCTGACTTCCCTATCTGGAGAGTTTCTAACCTAGAACAAGCAGACAGGATGTAAGTTTAGACATTTCAGCCTTTACTGGTTGCGTGCATCCTTTAATACAAGCCACCAGTGGCAGATCTCTTTTATTTGTGCTGGAGATCTTAGAGCTGTGTAGTGGCGTCATCAGACATTTCAGTAGTGCTGACGGAGCTAAATTAGTACAATACCTTTCAATGGTCAGAGTTGTTTATTATTAGACTGTAGCAGGTGTGTACATAATTGAATTGAATAGAGACTCTGATAGGTGGAAACAGGGATCCCTGTTCTGCAGAATCACAGGGTTTTGGGATAAGGGGTTCTCAGAATAGCAGGGTAGAGGAAACCAGAGGGCTCTACAAAACAGTGTAGCCTTGGGGATGTCAAGCACCAAAGCCCCAGAAAAGGTAGGGTATATCCCCTATATCTACTGTCATGCTAAATTTAGCTTGCCTGAATAGTACGGAGATAAACAGTAGAATGCAGAATTTAGAGTCATGTACCATTTGTGCTCGGCATCAATGATTTTGGCTTTGCTTCTTTGTTAGTGAAAGGTTTGCACACGTAAAGGACGGTTATGCATGGCTCATGGCAATGCTCTCCAGCCTTTCAGCATTAGAAAATAGAACAATAACAGCAGGCTACTGACAACATAAAAGTGGTGCCTGTAATCTTTATGAACTCTTTCATAGACAATAATGGTCTGAGAAGGTTGACCAATAAGGGCAGCCTATCAATCTTAACGTCAAGGGTCAATGATTATTGACCAATAATTACACCACTTGATTGTGATGCAAGTATTAACGCTCAATGCGCCAAAGTGCTTCATTCCCTAATAATTACACTCCTCAACGTGTGTTATTGTAGCAATAACTTGCTGAAAACAAATGAGATCCTTATTGGAAAATAATAAAACAAGGTGGCAAGAATGAGCCATTCATTCCAGCTGTATAAGCCAGTCTTTAAATCAGAAGGTAAACCTGGAGCTCAATATGGTAACTTAATGTTTTCACATTGAGAATGCTATGAACTGATTTTATGCAGAGCTCTATTGTTCCTATAAATATTCTTGTACTGTCATACAGACATAAATTAGGTCAGCATTATTTGTTTTTTTTTAACCTACAAAGTATTTTGAAGTATCCCAGATACAGCACAAATCTAATTATACCCCAAAGAATTACCTATGTGTACGAGCATCAAAGAAGCATGCAAAATCAAAGATCTGATTTTATTTAATGGGATTGCCAGCATCTTTAATGTATCCTCCAGTCAAACATGAATTTAAAGGAAACCTGTACTGAGGAGAATATGGAGACTACCATTGCTGACCTCCTTATAAAAATACTATCTGCCTGACTGTATCCAACTTAATACCTTGAGTCACTGATCCAGAATAAGCATGCAATAGAAGGAAGTCATAGTGAAATCTGTTCTCCTAATCTACATACTTTTTTCAGGCTGGTGATGTAAAAAAGTAATAAAACTGATTATCAAACCAGGTAAAGAACTACAGACTATATTGAAATCCACAGCAAATCAAGTATATCAGTGAATAAAAGTGTATAAAGCAACAAATGCCAGCACTGCACACCCCCAACCAGCTACAACCTCTCACATGTTTCACCCGCAGGCTTATTCAAGACCTCTATGAATAAGCCTGCGGTCGAAACATGTGAGAGGTTGTAGCTGGTTGGGGGTGTGCAGAGCTGGCATTTGTTGCTTTATACACTTTTATTTACTGATATTGTATTTATTGCTGGGATAATATTGTGGTCCCGTATAGCTGATGGTATTATTTTGCATTGCTGTATTTATTGCTTGGTTTTTTGTAGTTCCCTATAGCTGATGGTTTTATTTTGCATCACTGTATTTATTGCTGGGATTCTTTTTGTAGTCCCCCATAGCTGATGGTATTATTTTGCATTGCTGTATTTATTGCTGAGATTTTTTTGTAGTCCGTTTAGCTGATGGTTTTATTTTGCATTGCTATATTTATTGCAGGGATTTTTTTGTAGTCCCTATAGCCAGAGGCAGCTCTCTAATTAGGCAAATTAGGACATTTTTCATTTCTCCTGCTATTCACCCTTTAGTGAATAACCCTAAACTCCACCATTGTTTGGAAGATTTAAAAACCTTGCTTTTCTTTTTGCAAAAGTTCCATTTAATGCTTATGTATATTTGTATTTTCAGAAAATAAAGGGACTTACTTTGTTTTTCCTACAATCTTTATTGTCATTTATGCCAGTTATATTGTTTCCAGCCTCAAAAAAAAATCTTAAAAGACCATGCTATATAAAGTTTAGTTTGTGTTAAATGAGTATAAATAGTGGAACTACAATCGCCTACATAATGAGAATCGAATATGTAACTTGTGAATATCTGGCTCTCATACTAGCCAGTGCCTCACCAGCCACTGACCTCACCGCACGTCCCTGCTACAGAGAACTAGTGCTGCAAAGAGTCTTATAGCTCCTTATAATGGCCCTGGCACCCCTCTCACCTAGAGTTCTGCTTCTATGTTGGCCACATGTGTTCAGAGGTGAACAGCAAGGCATACAGAAGAATGGGCGTGGGCATTAATGTGGCAGATGAGGTTTAATGTCGATAAATGCAAAGTAATGCACTTTGGAATTAAAAATAAACAAATGGGTTATACAATTATGGGTATGCCGCTAGGGAAGTCAGAAATGGAGAAGGATTTGGGGGTCATTGTAGACCACAAACTGAAAGAAAGCTTGCAGTGCCAGGCTGCTGTAAACAAAGCTAGGGTCTTGTCCTGTATTAAAAAGGGGATGTATTGCAGGGACAAGACTATCATTTTGCCACTTTATAGATCATTGGTTCGACCTCATCTGGAGTACGCGGTCCAGTTCTGGTCACCAGTACTAAGAAAAGATGTCCTTGAGTTGGAAAAAGTCCAGCGGAGGGCAACCAAACTAATTAGGGGTATGGAGGACCAGAGCTACGAGACAAGGCTACTAAATTTAAACATGTTCACATTGGAGGTGAGGAGATTAAGGGGGGATATGATTTCCATGTACAAAATGTTCAATGGTGGTAGCAACATTAGCAATAAACTGTTTAAAATTAACTCCATTACAAAAACTAGAGGCCACCACCTAAAATTGGTGGAAAAAAAATTCCAGCACAAGGGGCGAAGGGGGTTCTTCACAGTAAGATCAGTTGGGGTCTGGAACTCACTGCCACAGGCGGTGATTTCAGCAAATAATGTGGAATTGTTCAAGAAACTTTTGGACGATTTCTTAAGGGACCGTAATATACAGGGGTACAGGTACTCCTAGAATGAGATCCTAATAGGTTGGACTTGATGGACTAATGTCTTTATTCAACCTCAAATACTATGTAACTATGTAAGCATTTACTTTCTAAATTACTATTATTTAATGCATTTTATAATTAGTTTAATGCTGTTTAACCACAGTGTCTACACTGAAAGGAAAGGCTGGTTTAGGAAACAACTTTTAATAATATTTTAGTATTTGTTTTTCCCATCACAGACTGAATGATTAGATTGAACCATTTTACTGATCAGGCCTATTCCTAGCACTCAGAGGCTGCTTGTTCCCATTCCTCCATATATACTCCAAGATTGAATAGAGGAAATTATTTATTAGAAGAAATTCACTTTATTGGTAAACATATTCTTATTGTAACAAAGCAAATAGTGCTCCTTTCCAGAGACATTGTGGATTGGATTTAATGGATGATAGACCGCAATGACATGCAACATGCCAGATGTATTCTGCAAAACAAAACCAGTTTATCAATTCTAAGATGTGGTGACACAAAACAGAAAAAACACATATGTGGAACTGGACATTACTCACTTCTAGGCCAGATTAGAATTAGGAGGCACTCTTTATAAATATCTAGCCTTGCTCCTGGTTTGTAATATTTAAGAGGTATAAGACAGTGAAATTCTCCTTCACTACCTGCCTGATCTATATATGTAGGTTGCGTCTCCCATTTTCTTTGACCCCAACTCGATTGCATATTATGAACCATCAGAGAGTTCAGGTCATTATTAAGACTATGTTTTTTCCTGGAAGCCTGCAGAGGCAACAGATAATATATTTAGATCCCCTGTTGCTGATTGGCTCACAGTGTTTTTCTGTGTTTTGAATGGCATGTATATGACCAATTAGTGTTGGACACTAAACTGGAGTGAAAGTAAGTTTATCAGCACAAGTGGCACTGTCACAGAAGTTCGCACAGATATCGTCTTGCTACCCCAATCTATCATTCACCTTACTTGTCTTTCATTCACATATATTCATGGATGTACAATAAATGAATAAACCTGCAAATAAAATTTCTAAAAGTGTAAAAAACAGACCAAAAAAGAATCTCCCAGAACACCAGACAATTTAGAAACATGAATGTTGTAGGCCAGTGATGGAATTTTATGTCTCTCAGTAAGATGTTCTGTGCTCACAGAGACTACTGAGTGCATCTGGCCACAAAATAGATCTATTTAACACAACACATTAATTTTGCTACTTACAAGTACCACGAATGCTTCTGGATCTGTTCTAGCTGCAAGACAAAAAGTAGTGTGTTAAGATCTTAATGTTAAATTATATAAAAGAAATGATCATGATTTAAAGTGGACATATTTTGACTGGCAACTCCACCCTCGTATTTGTGTGCTTGGTAAAAGATTAGGTTGAATGATCTTTTGTTCTGAAGATGTTACTACTCTGGAAACCCTCTGGCTGGAAGCACAATCTCAGCCTAGTGTCAAAGACTCACCCGGCGCGTCCCTTCGGTCCAGCGATGCGCCGTCTCGGGCGATGACGTCACGCCGGCCCCGCAGTTAAAAGCTCAGCTGTTTCGTCACTCGGCGTTCTCTCGTTTTGGAGCGTCGAGTGACGAACGGTGAACCCAAAAGCTCCCCTGCCTGAAGTCTTGGGACACCCATAGCAGGAGAGAGATCTTAAGCCTTGTCCGGAAGTGAGCAGGCTGCTGGCTGCCTGGACTCCTTGGTCCCTTGCTGACAGTTAAGGAGGTCCAAATGGTAGAATGACAATGCTATTAGAGTATAGTTCCACTTTAGTATGAGCTTGCTAGAGTCTCACACCCTTTGAAACTCCTATCAAACATTATGGTATCCAGTAGACGATTATTGAAAGCATTCCTACAAACAGGAATAACATAAGGACCCTCTTATGCCATATCATGGGTGCAGTGGGTGCTCAAACCAGCTCTGCTGGTCTTAGTCTATTTCCACTTTTGTAAGTGATTAGCATTCATTTTTGTAATTAGGAGGTGCAGTGAGGATGTGCGTGCACATTTTCATGAGTCCCATTGCAGGCTTTCTTTTAAGAAGTTTTTTTTAGGTCTCAATCCTAGAAATTCTAAATTTTCTCCACAGGAAACTCGATCTGTCAACGTGGTCAGATATAAAGCAGGTTTTCCCCCCTCCCTGTTATTCATTGTAACACGATCATTAAACACCAGCTCTGCCTTTGCACACAACACACTGTTCGGGGAGGAAGGTGGGGGGAGAGTATTGCCACTTTGAATACTAATGAATAGGGGGGTGGAGAGGTCACTTGTAATATACACACATTGTTTGCAAAGCACAGAGGCAGCAAATTCCAACGAGGACACAAACAGGAAAGCTAACAAAAAATGTAGGTTTCTGTGTTCATATATAGCAACTCGGTGAACATTGCTGGCATATGTTTCTTTAAAAATACCTCAGCAAAGGTGGAAATGGGCTTTAAACATGGTCAATCACATTGGTATATGAAGACAACTGGTGAGGACAGAAGCATTGGAGCTACCATTACCAATACTACTTGGTGAGTCACTTGCCCAAAACAAGCACGCAGGTCAGGACTTGACAATACTTGCTTTCAACATCATACACCCACTGCAGGCAGCGACAAAGGGATTGGTAGCATTCAGTATTAGTAGTGTATTTCCACCTTTGCAGCCATATTTGAGAATCCCCCCACCCTCCCCACTACATGTTTGTTACGTGTTCCATTTCACACAGCAGATCTAAAAACAATTTGAAAAAAATCCTTACCTGTTTCTTTGGAGCAGATTATACATAGGCTTCTACAGGCAGCTTCTAGTGATTAGAATAGATGCCAGTGAGCAGATAGGGGGAATGACTGAGGAATGTTTATATTAAAAGTTCATCAACATACAATGTCCTCAGGCCTTTAACCCTTTGTTAGGACAGACAATCCTGCTCATCTGGTTTACTATTGATAATTAAATCTGCTAGCACAGTATAGACAGGGTTAATTATCTGAAAGAAAACTTCCCCCATACAGTGAGAACTAAGCAGGGTTTTCAGTCCTGGGGTTTGCAGAAACATCACTGAAAAAAAGGTAAGCTACCAAATTTTAAATACTTTTTTTAGTTATAAGTTATAAGTTATGCTATGTGAATGGGAACATGTAACAAATGTAAAGTAGGAGTTCTCACAATCTGGCTGCAAGTGGAATACACATTAGGGTTAGGGGTTATGTTGGGATCTAGGGTTACATTTAGAATAAACATTATAAGGGTTAAGTGTTTGCATTTGTTTTTACCTCTTTGCTGTTGTGGGTCTGCTGGCACTTGTGGTTCTACAAGCATGTGCTCTGCTCTTGCGGCACAGAGCTAGCAGCTACTTCCTGTCCTGCCTCTCTCCCTATTTAAATCCTGCTAAGACCAGCTTGGGTTGCTTGACCAACACTCTATTTCCAAGCCCCCATTCGTCCTTTTGGCCCTGACTTTCCATGGACTGATCTCTCATGTACCAACTTGGCTTAGTTGTCCGGATTACCTTTGTCTGCTGCCTGCTCTGACTTTTGGCCCGTTTTTGCTCCGCCGCCATTCCATCTTTGCCAGCGCTGTCTCCTGAGTGTATGGATACTCTCCACACACAAGCAGGGTGAACCCAGGGGTCACAACCTGGGGTCAGCATGCAGCTAAATCCAAACTTCCATGAGGGGGTCCCTGGCGGAACACCAGCTGGCCTTTAGATCCTGCATCCTGAAGGATCCCGTGCGACCTTGTTTGCTTGTGGGCTCACATCCCTGGTACCATGACATTAAGGATTAAGTCAATAATAAGGTTACATTTCAGGGTTGAGTTAAGGATTAGGAGTTCAAGGTAAACTATAATATTTCTAAGTCAATTTCATTTTGAACATTTAGGTTTATAGTAGGGATGCACCGATATATCGGCTGCCGAAACATACAGGCAGAAAATGTCTCTTTTGGCTAAATGCTGAAAGTGCCAATTTCCTGCCGATACAGCGGCACATCCCAGGTTTTTCTCCTCCCCGCTGGGCGCTGCTCTGTGTCCCAGTGGGGAGGATAGAAAGTGACAGCCGGCTGTGAGCTGCCAGTTTCTCTCCTCCCACACCGCTCGGCCGCCTATCACAGTGCGGCAGAGCGGTGTGGGGGCGGAGACAGTGCTGTCACAGGAGGCTGGGCTCTCCTCTCGCACCGCTAGCTCGGCCTCCTGTGACAGTGTGTGTCAGAGAGGAGAGCAGGCTACAAACACTCAGCGATCAGTGATCAGTGATCGCTGAGTGTTTGTAGATAATTGAGGATATGGTAATATATCCTCAATTATGAATGAATGGGAGTGATCTATATCCACTCCTGTCCATTCATAATTGTGGTTATAGTAAACATACTATATTCTCAAGTTATCAATAAACAGGCGCACTCATAGAGGATTCCTGTTCATTGATAACAGGGGATACAGAAAAAGAGATTGAGGACTCTGTGTTCTCAATCTCTTTTTCGATTTTAAAAGGGAAATATCAGGAGTCTGCTTAGACCCCTAATATTTCCCCGAGCCCCTAAAAGTAAAGTAAAAAATAAAAATATTTAATAAAAAATGAATGAATAAATATTAAAAAAATGTAAAAGTTTATAAAAAATTGAATATTTAAAACATTTGAAAAAATTAAAATAAAAACATTTTTGGTATCGGTTTCAGCCTGACAATTTTTTTATTTTGGTTTCGTTTCAGTTTTTAAATTTCTATTTCGGTGCACCTCTAGTTTATAGGATATACAAACTAATGTATTATATATCATTATACAATGTGTGTTTTCACAAAAATTAAAATACAGGGCTTATTCTTGACAGAGGATTCTCAGAGCATTATGGATTTTCTATAGAGAGAGCATAGCAGACGTTGTCGCCTTTCAGTCTTTGTCTCTGAATGTACACTGAACTCTCAGATGGAGCCATACATGGAGGTAGTGGGATAAGTCACTATTCTGATTAATGTCAGTGTGTGTAAACAGATTTAGCTACTTACCTCTATAATTGACAGTTATATTTTAAACAGTAGAAAGAAAGGAAAAACTGAAAAACATGTGAATGAAGGCCCAAGTTCTGCTGGCTGGATTCAAGAATATATAATTTTAAGTGATTTTTTTAAAGTTACCAGGCTAATCAAACAGAAAAAAATGTTTTTTAAAATGTTATTTTACATTCCTGACCAAACAAAATAGGGCTCAGGTAAATAATAGAGTTGTTAAAGTGACTCTAAGCTCGGGTGTTAAATCTTAAAAATGCATTCAAATACCTTTTACTATTAACAAAAATTCAATGTATTTGTATATCACTCACTGTAGATCCTCAAATCATCTCTGAATTGGTGCCGACGCTGTTCTTCCTTCTGGAGGGTGGCTACTTTTGTTCCCTGGGTGTGTTGTAAAGTAGCCACCGCTCTAAACTCACTCCAGTGATGGACTACAATCTCAATACAAATTAGTAAACTAAACATGAGATTGTATTGCATCACGGGAGTGAGCCTGGAGCGGTGGCTACAACACCCAGGGACCATGGGGAGCAAAAGTAGCCACCCTCCAGAAGGACAGTGTCAGTACCAATTCAGAGATGATTTGATCAGCCATGTATGGCGCATTCTTCACACTGACCACCCGAATAATGGCGCCCGTCTACACTGTTCACCGACCTCTGCACTCTGTTACATACTCTTGATCCCTGTGGTGCCCTGACACCAATGTATACTGCTCTGCCAGGCTGATGCCAGCCCAGCCAGTCAAAGGTACTTGAACGGATTTTTAAAGGAGAACTATAGGGTAAGTGTTTTTCCCCATAGTTCTCCTCAGGGTCATGGAAGACGTAAACTAGCGTCCTCCCGTGACCCAAAGCTCAGTATACTGCGAGCTACAGCTCGCGGTATACTGAGACCGCCGCAGCTGGGACGGATCCCGACATTACTGAGATCGAGATCCACCCAGCTGTGTAAATGACAGCTGGATCTGCCTATCTAGAGGCAGAGCCAGCTGTTCTATATAACCCCTGAGTTTAGTGTCATGTTAATGTCAGAGTTCAGGGTATGCACTTCGCATAGCAGTGAAAAAAACCCAATTCCATTTCTTGGCTCTCAGCTCTGAATCTCATATACTGTGTGTGTGTGTGTGTGTGTGTATGTGTATATGTGTATATATATATATATATATATATATTATATTATATAATGTATGCACACACAAAAAACCACTACTATTTA